TCTTCCGTATATACTTTTCGTCATCCTGCGCTTCGTTTTTTTCTCTCTCTCTCTCTCTCTCTATATATATATATATATATATATACAATATATATATATATATATATATATATATATTGTATACTCTTGTATATATACACTTGTATATATATACAAAATATATATATATATATATATATATTGTATACTCTCGGCGGAGTAATGGCTGTTTGGTCGCGTGCAGCTAATGTAGGTCGGCCGTCCCTCGTCAATGTTTATCGTCGTACGGTATTACCGTATTTACTCGAGTAATGGCCGGACTATTCTTGAAGAAGGCCCTTCAATCTACTTTCCCGGAAAGCACACATACAGCCAATCATCGCGTTGCGCATAAATAACATAGGGAATAACTAGATCAAGAACACGAGACTCCATGCAAATGCAAACTTCACAGATGGTATCTTCGCGCGAAGACGTTATCTCTGTCCTGTACACCGCTGGAATCATGCTGTCCATCGCGGTGATGGGCTTCCGCGGGCTCCGCGCGAAAGCGAATCCTCAGGTTTTCTTCATAAACAGTGCGGCTATTACTCAAGTAAATACGTACTGGTGGTTATATTGTTAGTGTTGCAGCCGCCGTCATCATTGTTTTCCTTCGCTTCTGATAGCATCTTTGAGGTTCCTTTTTGTAAGGGTGAGTGGCAGCTCTCGTTCCTTGTAGAGAAATGCGAACAACCCCGTTCGTCATATCCGCTTTTCCTGAAGGTTCACGTTCTCTTTTCTTATTCGTTCTGCCCCACGTTCGCGCGTTGTTGGCGCGTATAGGAAACAATGCGCGCTATATTTAGTAGGTTCAAATGCGAAATATTCTTTTGAGTAACCTGACATGTGCAGTGCGAAAGCGAAAGACGCTGCGTGGTACCACCGGAGGAAACTTAACGAGGATTTGAGTTTTCCGTCACAAATTTCCTCTGTATATACGTGGAACCGAGATACCAGAAAGCACTTTGTTCTCCCCTTTCTCAAAGCCGGCTAGCCGCTGGCAGCTCACTAGGAGGCCCACACTTAAAACGGCATGCCCCCTTTCTATGAACCTCAACATTTAAACTGATTCTACTCAGCCCTACAAGAGAAACGCAGTAACAATTGCATATTTCATTACAATTACGTCACAACATCAGCTTGGTACTTGGAATTGTCTTTATACATGTGCCTGCCTTGTATGCACTCGCTATTTGGTCTTTCGGCCGAGCGAGCTGATGAGACATCGGAGTATTTTTTTTATATTAAAGAATTTTCAAATGAAGGTCCGCGATCCCACTATGTCACTGGTTTCTCGTAGTCCGGTATGGAGATTGTTTGATATGGTCTCTAGAGAGTTTTGCCGGGTTCATCAAGACGGAGGATCATCAGACGTGCTGGTGTCTTAATGCTGCTGGTGCGGTGTTTTAGTAAAAAACAAATGATCCAATAAACGAAAAAAGGTGCCATTAAATTTTGTGTTTTGTCTCTATCCTTACTGTTTAGTTATGATTCGAGGGAAATTTTATGCAATCGAAGTCCGCATCATAAAACTTAAAAAAATACATATTAATGTCTATTTCTTATTTTGAATTCTTTTCTTTTTTTGGCCTACAAACTAAATAATGATTTTTGCCTAGCATAGATTGTGCACTCAAAGATGTTACCGAAGTAAAAAATCAATCAACTCCACAGATACCATAATGGGTGAGTAGCAACGTTCTCTTTATTCTGCCCCATTACGCATACGTGAATTTGTTTTATCAACCGCACAGTGCGTGCCATCCGAGTCAGAAAGCCGATTATTCCCTCAGCCTTTTATTGTTCATGACAGCTAGATGCACGCTTCTAAGTATTGGAACCGTATACGTCTCATTCAGTTAGAACTGCACACCCATGCATTTAAGAACTTCTATATTACGGTGTTTTGATGGCTGACACCGCACGTACAAGTGCCTGCCAAAGGGTCAGGCCTAGCTTTTTGTGAATAGCATGGTCCGGGAGGCGGGGAAATTTTCACGCTGCCGTTGTTAACCAATGCGTTATCCGTAGACAAAACTGGCGTCGCGTTTACTGATTGTTCTACAGGGTGATACAAGGAGACGCCAGGCTCTTTAAATCGACCGGAAAATTCGGTTTCTTAACCTATCGGGCTACGACTTTGCTAAGTCGTAGCGCATATTTACAAAGATCGAACTTACCTGAGGAAAAGTAAAGAAAGAAAAATGCTTAGCTCCTATGGAAACGCAGCGACGCCACCAATCTTAAAACAACACGGCGCCGTTTCCACGGGAGACAAGAGATGGCGCAAGCGGTCGCGACGGCAACTGCCGCCAACGAATGAGCAGACGACGCCGAGAGCCGGCGTACTTAGCAGACAAGGAACTGCAGTTCCTTGTTGTTAACGCGCCTGTTTTTGTTTCTACGACTGTCGCCGCCTGCGGAACGCGCGACGCTTTTGAGTCGAAAAGTTTGACTGCTAAAACGCTGGCTCTCGGAGCCGTATGCTCGTTCGTTGGCGGCGTTGGTTGCGCCATCTCTTGTGTCCCGTGCGAAACGGCGCCGTGCTCTTTGAAGACCGGTGGCGTCGCTGCGTTTCCATAGGAGCTAAGCCTGTTCCTTTCCTTACTTTTTCCTCAGGTAAGTTGGCTCTTTGCAAATTTTACAAAAAAAAGCACCATCTGTGGGCAACACTGCACACAGTCGTAGCGCGATAGGTTAAAAAACCGAATTTTCCGGTCGATTTAAAGAGCCTGGCGTCTCCTAGTATCATTCTGTATAAACAAGAGCGGAACTCGACTCCTCGGATATTCTATGTTCTGATGCGTTTCCTGTATGCTTTGAACACATAGTCAACGGACGGTCCGGTCCGGTCTGGATGGTCGCTGACCACGTGGGAGCCGTCTTACCGGCGGGCGGACATAGCCATTTCCCCATTTCGGCGCCCAACGCGCGCGGGTGTGTGTGTGTGTGGGGGGGGGGGGTGGGGGGGTCGCGGAGGAGGGTGAACTTTCTTGGAAGCACACACCCTGGCCACGTGACCCTTCCCTCTGCCCGGCAATCGTGGATGAGTCAGCACTGTCTCGTGGACTATGTCACGTGAAGTCAGGTGGCGCGGACAGATGCAGCAGCGGCGGAAAACGGGAAGTGATGGGGAAAGCCGGGAAGGTTTCCCACAATAACAACCATGGTAGCCATTGTGACATATTCCAAAAAGAGCCAAACGAGGCAGCGGTCGCATTCGGGGCCCTTCCACATTGGATTCATAAAGGGAAGGTACAACGCGGTGTCGGTAAACAAAACCGGACCCAGGTAATAATTTTTAACTACGGTATATCACGTTTCACTTTAGGACCGACCGCAGCTTAGGCCACGGTTCGATGAAGCAACCGAGCAGCTCGAAAAGTGCGTCGTCACGGCGCTCATTGCCTTTGTGCGCATGCAGTCACCAACAAAACGTATCACTCAATATAAATGTGCAGCATTCCTGCGGTTTTCTTTTTATGCGTGTGGTTGGCTTAGTGGGTGATAACAACCGCGCAGAGACGATGACCCACATAGCGGCGTCGCGCCTGCGTGGAACGTTTGGTAACACCAACTTTCCAGTCTGCTCATAGGTTCTCCTTCACGCGCCGTGCATTCGATAGCCGTAATGCGTGCAAAAGGCGATGGCGGGCGCTGCATATTTCCTCACTGGCCTATCGAGCTTCCGTTGTGCAGCAGGCCGCTGTCCACATCGCGCTGCTACACTGCGGGGGCGTCCCAAAAGTCCTCGGCCTGACCCAAAAAGAGGCAACAGAGGTGAATAAAATTATGTTACTTTTTTGGTATAGTCCCTTTGAGGTCCACAAAATTTTCCCAACGATGCTCCAGTGCCTGGGTTCGCATGGGGAGAGAATCGGAAATTTCGTCCTCCAAAACGCGGGTCACTCCATTAGTGACGTCGCCATTACCAAAAAAGCAGACATTATAAAGTTTATTTTTCAGCTGGAGGGAGAGATGACGCGAGATCTGGCGAATATGGTGGATGGCTGATCACAGAGAAGTCGCAGGATGAAATGCAAGTCATCGGCACAGTAGCGTAGTGTAGCGGCGTGTTGTCCTCGTAGAAAAGCGTTCCCTACCGGAGCATTACGCGATGTTTGACCTTGATGGCTTTCCAGAGTCGATGAATCGGGATTGCGAAATAGTTCCCGGTGATGTTTTGCCCTTTCTGAAGTAATCGCTAAGCAGCACGCCTTCCGAGTCCCAGAAAACCTTAACCATCACCTTTCCTGCTGGTAGAACAAACCAAGCCTACTTTGGCGGTCGAGAGGACGTGTATTTACACTGTTCAGACTAGATTTTACTCTCCCGTTCAAGGTGATGAACCCAGGTTTTGTCAACATGTCCCAAAGAGGACACCGAAGGTTGCAGGATGTGACCTGAGCAGCTCGAGATTGACCCTGGATGTGCTGTAGCGGGTGCGTATTTGGTCACACGAGAGGCATTTTAGAACTTATCACGGGGAGTTTTTGTGCATGTCAATGTGTTAGATCAAGATGCTCTGAACTGTAGTTTTGCAGATCCTTGCGACTTGTGAAATGGCCCGGAATTTTTATGGTCGAACTGCCATTATTTACTCGTGCACACGGTCGATGTTTTCTTGCGCGGTCACTTGTTCATGCAGGTCTGCCAAGGCAGCGGTCGCATTCGGGGCCCGTCCATTATCGATTGAATTTCGTGGCCCCCTTCTTCACCGTTCTGTAGGATGGTGCACCCTCTTCCTACTGCCCCATGTGTTTGTGGATGTGTGCCGCAGTTAGGCCTTTCGAAAACAAACATTCATTCAACAAAAGTGTCATCACTTTCCTCGTTTTAGCTTGATTGCGCGGATTGCCACGTTTATGCGTCCGCCACAGGGAAACCGATTTGAGCTCATGCTCTATTTTTGGTGAAGCGAGTCCTAAGTGCGTATGTACGAGAGGACGTTGTTCGTATATTAGCTTGAAACGCAATACTCCGATTCGTCGTAGGTTAGACAATATATTTCTTTTTATTTTCGCTTTTTATTTTGTGTACACGTCTGGATATAAAATTATTTAAGGTTTATATGTGTTGTACAGGTTCCAGGTGAAATTGTACCGGGCCAAATCCTCCTTTGAAACAGATCGATTCCAGGCTGGGTTGTTGAGGCCGGTGATACCTGCAAAGATGAGACCATTTTGGGCTGTCTGTCACAAAAACTTACATGTTCTAAACATGTACATATATCTTGACAATTATGCAACTTACCGAACTTACAATATGTGTAAACATAACGCAATTTCATTGGACACAGATATGAGTGAGCCGTACGTAGCAGCACCATGGCGTGAAAAATGTATTTGTTTTAAGCCAAACTCGTTCAGGGCATGTGCCATACCGCATACAACAGCAAATTACTCAATATATATTTCAAATATATGGAGATATTTTGATGTGCAACTGAAATCTTGATTACACGACACCTTCTTCGAAATCACCTGACATGTACCTGTATCTTGGTTACACGTAAAAAATCTCCAGGTGGTCTACATTATTCCTAAGCTCTCCGCTGGTACGTGCAAAATGCCTCCCGCTTGAATTACATAAGCTTTGCGAAAAATTACCTTCTTTTTGCATGTCGTAGCACTTAATCCTGGCTAATTGTCTATAAATTGTCGCATTGTCGATTCCGCTCTTGTTTACCCTTTTTTTTTTTAATCAAGCGTTTTCTAGTTAGGAAGTTGATATTTTTGCTTCGTGATATTTCAGTGCGCTGTGCCTTTTCAGTAAAGACATATTAACAACAACCCAGGAAATTCGGCGGTCGTTTAGAAAAACGACTGCCACTCACATTGCGTGCTACTTCACAGGTTACGCCTTATCTTGCATTACAAGTGTCATGAACGTCGAGTTAAAAAGTATCCTCAAACATCGAACTTGCATTATAGAAGATAAAACACCCTAAGAAATGCCTGCTCGTATGTTTACCCGCAAAACACTCAAAGAGCCAATCATTGAGATCTAGGAAATCAGCTCAGCGAATGATGAGGCGGGACATCTGTTTAGACCTTAAAATTAAGCCTGCGCTGTGGTATTACGCAACGTAAGCATGACGCTTTGCATTTCGTAATGCCACAGCAAAGGCTTCATTTTTAGGCCTAAACATATTTTCCGCTTCTTCATTCGCTAAGCTAATTTCCTGGATCACAATGATTGGCTCTTTGAGTGTTTTGTGGGTAAGTAGACGCGCAGTCATTTCTTACAGTGTACGCACAGTATGTCTTACACCTGTTACAGTGGCACTTAAAAGATCTAAGACGAACCTTTTTGAACAATCGTCTAACAAGCGCACGCCGATGGGGTCCGCGCGGGGTCGAAATCGCGAGGTTACTTGTCAATTCTTCAAAAGAGTCTGTTTTGAAGTCACTCTCATACCCTATTCACACGACCAGCATAAAGATATCGTTAGAGCGGGCTTCGCAATTGCCAAAAAAATCCCCGTTCTTGGGTCGCGAGTGCATGTAATGTGCGGATAATCTCACACTGATTCGCCGCCGATAATAAAGTTTTCTTAACTAAAGGTACCTTTGTGAGCTATTCACACGACCGTAAAGGTATCTTTAGCGAAGGGACCTTTATTCTCTGCGGCCAATCAATTCGCGATCTTCCGCGCATGGCGTGTGCTCGCGACCCAAGAGCACGGGCTGATTCGCCGATAGCAAAGAGACCTATGTTAAATGCACCTCTCTGCTGGCCGTGTGAATGGGAAATTAGTGGGGGTTTAGTTGCCGAGTGGGTTACGGCAAACCAGCTCGAAGCACAGGGAGTAAAATCTCGCGCTGCAGAGCCCAGGGATCTTGGGTTCAGTCCCCACCCCTGCCCCTTTCGAACTGGATGAGCATGCGGTCATGTATCGCTACCAGAATTGTATGTAAAGAGTTACAAATAACTAACTGCTTATAATCAATTGCACTTTCTTGTAACTTTTAACGCTTCAATTACTTTTTTTTTAGTGGTGAAGTCCACTGCGATTCAATTACTATTTTTCTGTAATTAATTAGAAGTAGCCATGTATATATTTCAGAAAGAGCTGAAATTATGAACTTGAATATTTGTTTTACGTAAAAATCGCTCTTTCTGCTTGTGCGTCACCTGTCTACGTTGCATCGACGTTGGACACTTTTGGTTTTTATTTCTAAGCACCTAAAGAAGATTCTAAGATATAAAAAGGATTAGAATGACAACGCGTTATACGACATTTTGACTATCGAGCCGTTCAGAGCCCCTCGTTTCCTCTGTACGGTGTGTTACGATCCGGGTTTGTCGCTTTAAACATATGTGTACATTTTTTTATTTCCTACTATAAAGTTAAAACAAACGAAACTTGGAACGTGATAATTACTTTCTGCTAATTTTTGGTTACTTTTGTGATGCACTAATTGATTACTGTAATCAGTTACATTTTTCAATTAAGTAAATGTAATTGCAATCGGTTACTTTATTTCCTAACGCGTTAAAAGACTGATCTGTATTACGTGGTGCACGTTAAGGATTCCAGGCTGGCGGTAGTACAGCAATGTCTAATTTCTTTTTTTATCTACACCTGAGACACCAAACACTAAATGGGGCAAACTAGCCTCCGGCTGTATAACCATAAACACACCATATTTCAATTATGTGAATAAGTACCTGAGAAACAAGTCAATAACCACTGCATGTAAATTAAATAAAAGCAAATGCTATTTTGCAAGCATGAGGCTGACGCCTCATTTCGTCTGTCGCTCGCTTTCTGCAGTAAATAACACGTGACGGACCTATCGATCAAGGTGTGCAAAACGAGTGTGGGCTATCTGGGCTTCCGGAGGTGATATCCCCGAAGACTTCGTTTTTATGCTAAACAAAACCAAATTAAAAACACCGTTTTTTTTAAGGGGGGGGGGGGGGGGGGCAGTGGTGGACACAGTGGCGGACAAGCTGTTTCCAACTGCTTGTAACTTTTTTCCACCAACATGGTTTGTCATTAACGAAATTAACAAAATAATTTATTGTTATTAAAATTCTAAACAATCGAATTTACTGTGAGATAATTTTCTGTGCCCTATATTCGTGAAAGCCAGATTTTTGTTTTGCAGCTATTACAAGCATTATCTTCATACAACTGGAGTCTGGAGTATGAAAAGTAAAAAATAGGTGAATATAGTAGTGTACAATCTACGTGTTCATTTCAGGTTGGGCCCCAGGATGGGTTACTGGACTAACTTACGGCATAGGCTTGGAGTGCCCGCTTCGCACGACGAGAGCTCCGGGCATCGGGAGCAGGGAGTTCCTCGTACGTAAACAGGTTGGCCCACCATGTTTCCACTGTAAATTAGAAAAATATGTTGTTTGTATCGCCTGCCAACCTCCCAATGCTGCACATGCGTTCTTCATCAGTCATTAAAGTAAAACGCAGGGTCATATCATGTATTTTTTAAGATTTCATCAAAAAACCGTTTTTAGCGGTGAAGACAGGCTTGTCTAGGCACCATTCACAACAGCCGTGAATGTTTAGGGAGCCTATTGCCTGAGTATTTTGCACAACCACTTAGTTAAGTCAAGCTTCTGAGACAGAAATCTCACCGTGTCTTCACTGACAAAAGAGGACAATTTTTGATATTATTAGCCTGTTCATCAACCAACGGACAAAATCGATTACGAGGTGGCATCAATATTAAGAACCCAAGCTTTCTCGCTTTCAGAAGCATTACTCTGTGGTGGAGATTGGACTGGTACAAGGAAGCATAGCAACTGAGTCTGAATTATTAAACGATCCAAGATTGCCCATAATTTCTTCAGTTTTCTCACTGTTCGCAGCTTTATGCATTTAATTTTCTTCTGGTCTTGAATTTATTATATAGTCCCTCAAGCAAAAAGCAAGAGTACTGCAGCTTGAAGGGCCTAGGACCTGCCGTTTACTTTTTTTTTTCTTTGACGCTTATGTGCCCTGGATAAAATATATGCCACAAAATAATTGCAACAATAATATAATAACCCAAGTTCAGGAGCTGAAAGTGCTAAATACGGATAACTTTCTAGAATAAAAAATCTTAGAAAATATCTTTGGAAGTAATTTGTCTTTCATTGACTACCTAGCAACACAGCTAATGACAAATCATTTTTCGACTTTGCTAACGGTAAGAGCTGTAAATTCATTTTCTTTGCGTCTAAAAGCGTTCTTTATGCGTTGCGTTCGTTGAGAGGAAAACGTGCATTCGGATTATGATTATCTCATCGGGAAGTGCAGTAGCACAAACACATGACATAATTGCAGATATGGTGGCGGCAGAACGAGTAACTTTAGAAGTGTACGCCAGCAAACTTACCCCGGAATATAATGGCAGACCATGTATCGTGCACCTCCGAGTTGATGGCAATCAGTGGCGCCGCATCCTATTTTGATGTTTTTCGCCCAGGCCATCTGGACAAAACAAACACGCATATTATATAAGGTTCAACTCAAGAAGTGTTCTGTACTCGTCTTGTTTCTTTCTTTTCTTTTTTTTGAAAAAAAAGAGGTCAAGTGGTTTTCGTTTTTCTTTCAGACAATTTGTATAATTTTTCACTAGGTGTATAAACATTGCCTAGTTCCAAACCACTAAAACGAGAATTTGTCGGCCTGGAGCATCGTTTTTCTAAATAAGATATTGCCATCTCTCCGAAAAAGGTTATCTTACGCTTAACAAAGTATCACAAAATAAATATTTTGTTCTTTTTATGTTTCATTTCCAGGGGCACATTACGTTTCAAAATGCCTTTCTTCCGTCATTCTAATCAAAATTGACTAATATTATTACCTGCCAAAATTGAAAGGGTCGAATGCATCGCGTTAACGTTCCAGTGGCATCAAACCACCAACCTAATAGGGGGATTTCTTGCTTACTGTTTGTGAGTAAGACGGTTTTCTCTCAAATATATTTTTTGTATTTTTCGAAAAAAAAGTGCATTGTACTATTACGCACGTTCGAAGCCCTGAGAGGGTAGCGCTCGGCCTTTGTTACATACGGTGCTAGCTAAAGGATCCTCCCTGTGGACCTACACACCGTTCACAAACAAGTCAGCATTTTCCTATTGCACGTGTGCGCATAGCGCGTGCACAGGAGCCAGATCAGCGCGACGTGACACGTCCGCGCACGCGCCGAGTCGACAGCAACGCTCATCCCTAAGCTGACACTGAAGTGGGAGCTATACGCGGTGACCGGAGCAATCATTTTCTCTCATCAAGTGATCCCGTCCTCTGCGCTTCGGTATGGGTTCGGAGTGAGATCACAAAGCAAAAAATACGGACTCAAGACAGGTCCAACGAGCATCGTGCTTCCAACGCCCTCTGTTGTGCACATTGAAGGATAGGCGCACACCCTCGCAGATACCTTTTTCACTCAGCCGTTCTTTCAGTTTACAGGGCCGTTTAGTTAGCGCAATATGTATCGAAGGCCACATGTTTCACCATTCGCCTTTCATTTGAGCCCAATGGTAAAATTCAGCTGTAAGCTCTAAGGGTTTCGGTAGCAATGACAAATTAATAATTTGTGAATAAAACGAACGTTCTGGACGCTGCGAATTTCAGGTTAGCAGTTGACCCAGGTTAAGAACTTTCTTTTATCTCAAATAGTATCATTGACCAATAATTACAATAGTATTCTACAGACACATGCTTTATTTCGATCCAGTGAACTATGCAAAAAAAAACAAAAAAAATTTAGGCTTTTTTTCCGTTGTTACGAGATATGTTACTTCGATATGCGTATCAGAGCGCTTGTCTCAAAACTCTTGCACGGACGTCGGAGAAATACACCAAATGCACAATCTACAAACAGCCCCTGCGTCTACTATCCCGCACAACACTCGGAGAGCCAATCATCGCAACTTACGGAGGCAGCTCAGCGGATGACAATGCCGAAATATACGTTTAGACCAAAAAAACGCAGTCTGAGTTGTGACATTAAGCAATGCAAAACGTCACGCTTGCATTGACTAATGTCAAAACTCAAACGGCGCTTTTTGGTCTAAATATATGTTTCGGCATAGCCATTCATTGAGCTGCCTCCGTAAGCTGCGGTGATTGGTTCTCCGAGTGTTGTGCGTGAAAGTAGACGCACGGACTTTATTTAGAGTGGTTTTTGGGGAGCAAGCGATTGAACATTGTGGACCACCGTTTTCTCCATAATCGGGATAATTTTTCTTTATTCCTTCCAGCTATCGCACTAGTGATTGTCTCTATTATGTTTCCCAAGAAATCCCGTCTTATCTAAAACTTCAGCCTTCTAAATGAGTCTAGTTTACCTTGATAAAAAAAAGCCTGAGAAGTAAAGAGGTGTATGTATTGATTAGATTGCACAGCTTATGACGGAAATAACACAGATTATTACCGATGAAATCAGATTTTTCATGTGTCAGTTTCTTGTCTGGTTATGTATATATAAAACTTTAAAAACAAAAAAACACATGGGGTATTTATTGGACGCCGTATGTGATGTCGACCTTCGAAGCGCATAACCAGAAATGGATGCCAGTCATATTGTGACAAGAACAGTGGTGATTGTGTGGAATCAAAGTTGAAAGGGTATGAACGTGCAAAACAACGGCTTGATATTTGGTTCTCTTGGAGGTCGATAAATACAAATTATGAAGACACCTAAGCACTTAGGAGATTTGAATGAAAGGCAGAAGCTGCCGCAGCCCCCACACGCCTCCGGCAACGCCTGACACCAGAGCGGCGGCCGAGCACACGCTCTCGTGAAGCGGCCGCAGCCCCCCCCCCCCCCCCCCCCCCTTCCCTCCCCTCGCCCCACCCGGCAAGGCCTGACACGAGAACGGCACTCGAGCGCGCGCTCTCGCGAAGCGGCCGCCAATGGCTATCTTGGAGCCGTTTTGCTTAGTCAACTAGAGAATGGGCATTTATTTCGCGTTTTTTCGAGGTTACAGACGCCGCCGACTCCGCTCAATGGAATAGCTAATGCTTTCGCATTCAAAAGCTAGTTCTAAAAATGCGCTTATATCCGAGACGTGGCAGACTATGTCCAGTAGATATATCTTATAACAGCGCAATTCCAAGAAACAATCTCTGGCTCTTCAATACCAGCTTGAAGGGGGGTGCGAAAATACAGTCTTTATGTTCGTACAAACTTTTTCGTTGTGTGCTAAAATATTGCATCATTCGTACATTGTAAAGTGCTACAAAGGACGCACTGTGAGAACGCAGTTGAACAAACTAGGGAGCGTGGAAGAAAACGCCAGAATAATAATATTTTCTAAAACCATTGGCTATTCATTTTGACCTTCTTCATGCTATACCACACTAATCCCTTATTGACAAAATCTGCGGAATTGTATGCTTGCATGATTGCTAGAATCGGCCAAACCTGGGTGAAATGTCCATTCAACGGAGAAAATTGGTAATTGTAGATCGTGAAGCTGTTGGTCCTCCTGTGCTCGTTCCACCACGTCATGATTGCTTGTTCCCAGTTTCCCCGAGGAGACAAGAACAGGTTCTGGCCCAAGTATCTGTCTGAAAAGAAAACCAAGATAAAATCTTCCCTAGATCACCGTCAACGCCAAAGTATCTTTCAAACAGTTAAAATGAATTTGATATTGACAGTTCTAATTTGCCTCGATTGCGCCTCCGTCCTTCCTATTGACAAAATGAATTTGAAGCAATTGAAGTCCGATGACGAATGTTATGCGGGTTGGTCATTATAAAATGTATGGGTTATAATGAAGGAGGCAGGGCGAAATCTTATATATTACGTAATATTCGAGTTATACCGCTTTGCCTCACAATATCTCCTGGTGTGTTTCAAAGTAAACTGAAGCGATCCAGCATTCCATGCAAAACACCTTATCACGAATATCAAAATTATATTTTAGATTCATTCACTAAGAAGCTGAAACAACACTTTCAAAATAGCGCTGAAGCCCCTCCTTCCCGTCGCATCCGGTAGAAGGGGAGAACCGTGACGTATTACACACAGATCTCGACATTTTTGCGCCTTCCGCAAGCCTTACCCGAGGAGTAAAAAACGCTGCACACCGTTGCCTCAGAAGTGGTAAGCCTAAGGCAGTTGAAGCCTCTGGGTATACCGTCACACCCAGCGGCTGTTTTGTTTTCAGTTTTTCTGGCGTCTATTTAAACGTTCAGGTCAAATGCTCGTGATATTCATATTGAAGGGAAAAAATACTCTAGAGTCAAGCTCTAACTAGTTTTTATCGAAAACCTCTTCGGATTCCCCCTTTAACTATATATACATATTTCTCTACGACTAAACATGCACTCTAAAGAATGCCTGCGCGTCTACTTACCTGCAAAACACTCAAAGAGCCAATCTCTGCGATCTAGGAATCAGCTCAGGCGGAACAACCATTTAGGACCTAAAAATAAAGTCTGCGCTGTGGCAGAACGCACTGCAAAGCGTCATGCTTGCATTGCGTATTGGCGTAATGCTAAACAAATGTTCCCGCTGATCATTCGCTGAGCTGTTTTCCTAGATCGCAGAGATTGGTTCTTCGAGTGTTTTGCGGGTAAGTAGACACGCAGGCATTTCTCAGAGTGGTGTAGAAAACAAGTTGAAGATCTTATTACTAGCGCTGGCAATTTGATCGATTCACATGCCTGTTAATCGGGCAATGCTTGAACTGCGATTAATCTTTTCACCGATTACACGGTTAAGTTTCGAAAAACAAAAGAAAAATCAGGCCTTCCACCACGCAGTCTTTTCACCTGTGTGAAGTCAAACTTTAGGCGAAATTTTGACCCAAAGTAAACTGCAGGGCCGAAATAGGCGACTCCAAACATGTAGATACTTGTCCCAGCAACTTCAACGCCCTGCCTGTATCCTTTTAGGGCAGCAGAGACGATTGTAAACGCTCAAAGAAGAATATCAATGAAAACCTATTTGCACCTGTGGCCGAAGTAATAATTTGTGCCAGTGAGCGTCTTTCAACGGCTCTCAACTACACATCAAGGTCGATTCATAAATACGAGATTGGACATTGCGCCACTTCTTACGTATTCGGCAAAGGCAAAACGAAACTGGTTATTTTGAGACTACTATGCATGGTAAAAAAAAAATAATTAATCCTTTAATAAAGCGACTAAAAGGTGGCGATAAACCGGGTTGAAATATTTTAATCGACGCCCAGCCCTTCTTACGACTTAGTCTTCAGCCTGCGTCTTGGTTTCCTTTACCCTTCCTCTTCGCCCGTTTAGTTTGGGGGATGACACGTTTCATAACTCTTATTTCTGTTTCAGTCGTAGTCACCAACATCATAAGGAACGCGTTGAATGTTATCTTTGCACTCCTTGCTTCGTGATTCGTTCTTTGGCATTCTTATCGGCCGATGCTCTAATGTCATTGGCTGCCGAGCGTTAATTAGATGCATGGAACTCGCCACGCCCTGCGTTGGTTAAGTTGTCAGTGCTTTAGAGATATGGGTAGCATCTCCTCCGTCCTGCTTTTGGTTTCTCAGACTGGAGGGGGCCCGTAACGGTACGCGTTTTTCGCACACTATTCACGTTCATTGCGTAACTATTACGTCATTACGCATTTCCGCACGTTTTTTGTGCGTCCCTCTCCGAGAAATATTCAATGTCAGGATACGAACGAAGCCACCATGAAAGGCATAGTGCTGCGCTTTCTTCGTAGCACCACATTTGCTTGAAGGTCGATCGAAAACACAAAGAAGAATTGCCGAAATAGTGTCCCAAATATTGGACACACTTAATATTTTCTTCTTCTCGGAGTTATTGAATTGACAACTTTGATCTTCACCATGCTCTTCACAGTGAAAGTTTATACAGGTAGCAATGAAAAAATGACGTCAGCGGAAGGCAGCGGTTCACCTTTTGGACTCTAGATGTTGTTCCTAACTGATCACGGGCAGTTTCGTGGTATCAACATGAATGATTTCGAAGCTCGCTCCAGCCCCCGTACAGCAGCACGAAACAAACGCTCAGCGTAGTCCAATTTAAGACTGCCCGCTCGATCCGCAAGCCTGCCTTCCACTGACGTCACGGCACTGGAATACGCGGTTATTTTCTTAATGTAGGATTTGGCATCGTTTTCAGTTGCAGATTTGACAATTACTACTCTGCATTTCGTAATACTAAATAGGGCACCGGAGGGGGTAAAGGTTGCTGATTCCGAAAATACAGTTATTTCGAGTAGCTAAACAAATCGCCGAAGTGCCTTTTTCAAGCAAATTTTTTGCAATAATACATCTTCCCTTTTTTTTCCATTTTTCTTTGATATTTATAATGAATTTTTTTTAATTTTTTACGTCCCCCTGTAATCTGCTTACAGCTTGTGAGAAAAAAATAGCTTTAAATTTGAAAGGTATTAGCGTAACGATGGATAGCTTACCAATACGACCGCATCCAACACACCCGTGCTGAAATTGGCAGCTTTGTGAGTGGATCTGTGCCAGCTTTGCTAACTCTCCGTCGTATTCCTGGAAATAAAGAAGACAGGTTAGAGAATATATGTGTCAGAACATTTTATTTTTAATCTTTTATAAAAATATGTTTTTTGGTGAGCTCAGGATATTCTTCACATCTTTATTCATTTTCATATTTACTTTTCTCCAGTACAACTTACAATGAAAAAAAAATAATTATTTCATTTTCGCGTCATACGAAGGCACCGTTGACAATAATATTAATAACAACAAGGTCATATAATTTAATCACAATAAGAAGGTAAAGGTTATAGTTTACTACTATACGGTCGTGGAAACTGAACAAAGTTATGTATTGTTCTACGATTAGGTATTATTTTATTACAAATCGTTATCCAATGCATTAGTGTGTGGGTCTGCTGGGAAAAGATATAACGGGGTAAATTTTGTTATTCAAATAGCTAAATTATGTTTTTACACACGTAATAATTTTGGCATGGAATTGGCTAAGAAAAAATACATGTAATTCAAAACATTTTTCACTGACTACCATTTATGCCTAACATCCATGTTTCAAAATAGACCTGGGGTTTTCTAATCAATCATGGGTTCTAGTGAGACCTGGGCGTCAGTTAGCTAAATCTAAGTACATTAAAAAACATCGGACTTCATCTAGTGAAACTTGTGTCCTTTAGCAATATATGAAAGATAAACAACAACTATATAATCAATGATTTCTTGTAAAAGTACGTGGTGCTTTAGAGTTCCTTCTTGTGCTCCGCCATCATACAATTTCTAAAGCGCCACTCAGCGCGTTTCGCAACTAGACAGTAAGCACAGAGGACACCTTATTACTAAGAAAGCAGCACTTGCTCAATCACTTCATATGAAGATATCCTAATAGGACGAAATGGCAGGGTTGATAGGGGCACTATTAATATATACCTTTTCACTCAAAGGTGTCAGGTCATAAAAAGAAAAAAAATATTTCTGGTTTATTTCTATCAACAACCTGTGCGCCTCCGTCTGGCGTCACTATCCAACATTTCGAAAGAACTAGCAACACTGCTCCAAAATTAAATGGAATTCGTCACGTGCTTCTGAAATGCTTCGTTAAACATGCAGGCTTTCGCTACTGAAACGAAACTTGTTATTGTTCTAGGTAGTGGGTGCCTCTTTCGCTGTTTGCGTTTGACGACGACACCGCGATTGCTACCGCCATCGTTAACATTGGATTTGAAATCTACACCAATGTTTATGGGCAACGCAAGCAAAACAGGACGCATTTCCAAACCTCCAGTCGGTGTACGAGTCAGCTGGGAAACTGACATGAGCAAACACAGCCCGCCGCTACTGAATACCTGCCATAGGTGTAAGAGGGAAACGAGATACAGTGCTCTTTCCTGCAACTAAACAAAATAGGGCGTTGGAAACGGCACCGCTACACTTGGAAATACCTCAACAAGACAGGTGCCTGTTCCTTGTTTACTCTATATTTAGACAACCGCAAAAAAACATAACTGTCATTATGTGTCATGTGCTTTTGAAAATGCCACGTTTATATTCGGTAAATAAATATAGGCATAGTCTGATTATGTTTACATCACTATATCATTAACTTGTATTCATTAAAGTTGGTATATGTTTCTGGAACGTTGACTGCTGCATCAAGCTAGATTTTTGGCCACTTTCTTATTCAGGAATGTTCTCCCCCAGCACTCAACATGTTTAGAAATTACAAAAAGTTAAGTTAAATAACTTTTATGCGTTCGTTATTCAATTCAAAAGCTTGGTGAGCGAACCCTAATTTTGCACCTCATAAAAATACAAGTGACAAAGGTGTTCTTAAGTTAGCGAAGGAGTACAGGATGGGATTCAATTCGTCATGACGTTAAAGTAGCCCCGGAGCTAATGATTCAAAATGTGGGGAAATGAATAACAAACGGATGTGACCATAAAGGGGTATTCACACGAGGGAGAAATCCCCGGGATTTCTCCCTCGTGTGAATACCCCTTAATTAACACTACGTCGAAAAATACCCTTGACGTGTTGCCCTGCTTTTAAATTTGTTCAGAAAGCCATTTTTCACACCTAATTAAAAACACTAAAAAACTTGAGACTACCCGGGCTCTGTAAAAAGTGACACCCACGTCTTTCTTCAAAGTAGAAAAACCATAAGCTCGCGCGTATTTCTTCCTCCCAGACTGTGCTTAACACGTTTAAGGGTTATATATGCCCTGTAACGTGGTACCGTCTTTAATTTATTTTTTTATTATTTACATCAACGCTGTTTTGGAGCTTTTCTGCTGCAGTCATGGGTGGAAAAAATATTTACCTTAGGACCAGGGTAAAAAAAAAAAAAGTATGATTTCATCAAAAAATAAAATAAATGCATTTCACCTAAATTATGTATTTTATTTAAATTAAATTTACGTGATTTAATTCAATTATTAAGATTTAAATGATCGTATCTGTAAACAGATTTTTATCACTGGATATAACTTTAAACATGGCAGAATTATATATCAATCTGTCCAGTCACTGTAAACATTGCTGAAGAAAGAGTTCCGGTAACCAAATAGCAGCATAATTAACAACTTATTACTGAGGCAAACCCTGTAATACTAAAACAAAAACTGCCTCATCTATTAGCTATAGTTATAGGACTTTAATCACTTTGTTCGCGTTCTGATTTGCTCGCAATAGAACGTTACGTAACTGGCGAACAAAGCGTTAAGAGAAATCTTAACGCTCTGGCTTTCTCAGATAAGCACTGCTATTGTACGTGTTCAGTTCGACATATATTTTCCTCGCTTAATGATTATTTGACATAAACAGAAGAACAATTAATTGCAAACATAAGGCTTTAAATGTTAGACAAAAAAGGCAAATATCATTCGTAAATATTTATGCGAGAAAGATTTTGATTTAAATAACCTTATCAAAACTGTAATTATTTAAATCACAATTTAAATCATGATTTATCTCAAAATTTAAATCTTTTTGATATTTATTATATTTTTTTTTGTTTATTTTAATATCGCGTATGGTCTGGGTGTCCTGAACGCTAAGAAGTCACGTTCCCCACCAAAAGCCCTGTCATTTAAACACCGTCGAAGGATGACACAATCGCAGCCCAATGTGCGATGTCTACGGAACAGCACGTGCATATTTCTCATTTCGCGAAGCGAGCAAAACTCGTAATGTGCGCACGAGTGCTGAAAATACAACCAGCCTGAAGGCCGTTTCTATAACTTTGTTTCATATCAAACCCTATCACTGCCAACTCTTCAGTCCGATAGAGAGAATCGAGTGGTGCAAAACGTGCATGGACACGACGCTTGGTGTCTTTGCGTGTTTGCTATAGACTCTTTTGTGTATGTGGTGGCCACCATGTTGAATTCTGACGTGACAGATTTGGCAAAAATAGGAAATATCTTTATTTGCCGGTTCGAAGGCGCTAGAATTCAAAGGCTTCGTGCCAATTGTTCTACTTTTCTCTTGGCTATATTTTTTTGTTTTATTGCAGTTAAATTTAAACTATTTACTTTAATCTTTGTCGCCCTACCCAACGACGTCATATTTCAACGTGGCAACCGTCAAGCTCGAAAAGGGTTCATATTCGCCTAAACGGATCGAGTACATAAAAAGGAAATTGCAGGATCACGTTTCATCCACAGTACGTGATTTATTTAGCCGGTGATATCCAACCAAAGAGCGATAAACCGGCAGTTTAAAGTTACCCCCACCCGGTCGCCGCCATGTTGTACATTTTTTTTACCCTAGACAGGTGACCTTATAGTTTTACATCTATATTTTAACGAAGTACCACGCCACAGATATTTCATTATTGATCCTTAATAACAGCACCGACGAGATAAGCTATGTTTCGATTGCTTTAAGTCCAACATTTGATTTTATGGCAAAAACTCGGGCAGCTTCGGAAATATTCCGCTAAATGCCGGCAGCCGCAGTGCTGCTGTATTTTCGGGTTTTTATCGGAGCTAAACACTGATCTCTTGGACTCACAAAATTAAAACTCTTTTATCATAATTTTTAACGCCGATCGCCGTACAAATCTTGGCTCTGTTTCGCGTAAAAGCCTCGGGATTTGGCATGGTCACTTGTCTAGTGGTCAAAATCGTACAACATGGCGGCAGCCAAGTGTGGGTCACTTTTACCAGGTGTACAGGTTACCAGTGTATCGCTCTAAACCCCTCTACCTCGTTGTATTCAACGCAGAAGGACGACGAGGGCCATGACGATCCACTTTAAACGCCGTCGGATTGTCTACATCGGATCGTAGCGTTGGCTACCATCGGAATTATTGCGAAACAGTGCATAAAATTGTCTATTAACGCTGAGGTACTTTGCTGGCGCCAGCTCACGGTTTCCTCGGTGATGTGACAACCAGGATTTGCCCGGTCGTCACGTGGCGAATTGTGATTCTGTCTACTTATCATCAGTAGCCAACGAGAAGTTAGATAGTGTTCGTAAATCTCGCGGTAGGAAGCTTGGATTCGTTGTAGTCAAAACACAGAACACGGTCAACCTTGACAATCAGACAATGCTTTGTCGTTGCGCAAACCATAAATAATCCCACTTAAGACGAAAGTCCACTGCGCTGACGCCGTTAGTCGCGCACGTCGCCCCTTGAAAAGACTGCCCTCTGTTGGCAGCTGTGGAAATCATGTACATTAGCGGACTAGAACCGCAATGTCAAGGCACACTTTATGCGCTTGGTAGTAATAGAAGGCAAAACACACCCCGAGAGAAAAGTGATGAGTGCATTGACGTTGCACCTTCGACGCTGTTTGCGTCGAAAGTGAAATTGGCTCGTCGGCTGCTCGCGTTGGCCGCGCCCCGTCCTTCCCTATCTTATGGGATGACTTGCACGCTCCACGATGTCAGTTGTTCCGCCACTACGCAGTGGTTCCGGCCTTTTAATAATCGGCACGTGACTTTTGAAAGAGGTCTCTATGTATTTTAATGGATAAGTTGCCCCGCTTACACCTCACAAGTTTGTTTGTTAGAAGATGTGCATGGTCTTACCAGGCGGAGCATATTTGCTGCCGATGGAAATCCAGCCATGTTTCCTGACGCAAGGTCATTTCGAAGGTCGTTGTGTAGCGCCACGATGCGGTCAACTTCCGCGGGAGACACTGCTTGCAGGGGGTGTCCAAGAGGGTGGCCGTAGTCCCCCGGTTGCACTAGGTTGATGGTGAGCGGCAGGGGCCACACTCGTGGCTGCGTGATCTGGTACGGACCCATTGGCCGGAGCTGGTCGCCCGCACAAGCCTCTGTGTGCGTGGTACAGCAGAAGACAGCAGCGGCGAAAACTGCGAAGGACATGGTCCTGGAGGTGTACGAAATACGTTAGCGGTCAGATTATGCTGGGGTTAGGAACTGTACTAGTTTGCAACGTCACCACCCTGCTGTGTATCATTGAACAACCCACGAAACAAACCGACCATACAACGTTCAAGATATTGTACAGCAACAGCACCCTTTCATTTCCCAGTTTTCTGACGATAAAAAATTATAGCGCAAGGTTAAATTTGTTCCTGTCTGTGCTTTGTTGCAATTCGACATTTATTATACGCCTACAGTGGCCCAAGATCTGTATAATAACAAGCGAACGTCGACCGCCGGGCCGACCAGTGCCTAGCCGCGGAGGGGTGCGGAGAAACGGGAACGTTTAGACGCGTGTGCAAAAAGCTCTTTCCGGTGCGAGCGTCGTCTACTAAGCTATTCCGTTGACCGCACACAAAACCGTACTCATCATCTGCTGGCGGAGCTAACCGCCTTCAAGCGAAAATCTAAACAGCGCTTGCTTATCACTCGTTTTCTTTTTTTCTTTTTTTTTTTTCTTTTTTTTTCGGGCACATAAAATAGCAATTGGCAGCAAATTCAAACACAGAACAACACAGGCAGACCTCAGAGTGAAACTATCGTCATTTTGCCGCTGTTTTTTAAACGTGTTCCGGTTGGCTGTAGGACTATTCGCCGAAGGACAATTTGTAGCAGGGCGACCTGTAGCAGGGAAATTCGTTGCATAGGGCAATTCGTCATAGGGCAATTCGTAATAGGGCAGTTTATCCAGATGACAATTTGTCACCCTATTAAAAGCTTCTTATGTGTTTAATTTCTACAGTTTATCGAGTATACTGCTTCAAAATTATTAATTACGAACGAAGGTTCTCCCTCATTTGGTACATTGCTTTATAGCAGAATGTTTAAGATTCAGCTTAAATGCTCTACTTCCCAGTAGACGCTGTCTACTTCTGTGGGTGAACGCCATAGCCGAGTTAAAAATATTTTCAGTAATTTTGATAGGATAACCACACTGGTGTAAGTTCACGAAAAGTTTTATTTTCATTGCTTCCTGAACCACTCAAACTGTTGGTCTTGAGCAATAAGATTGGCCCGGCGAACACGCAGCCTCCCGTGCACTGTCAGCTTAAGGGTGCCGAGAGGTTCACAACTCCAACGCCTATAGGTGGAGGGGCGGTAGTTCCAGGATGGCGTAAGAGACGGGGATAGATTCTCCAGGATTTCCTGTGCGCCTGCTCGCTGACGGTGGTCAGCGCGCTAAAAATGACTTATTTGCCTACAAACGTGAAGTGGATAGGGCAGGATCGTAGCACAGGTGATGGGGATGTTGATAGTTAAATATCAGCAAAACGAGCATGCTGCTATTTAAAAGTTGCAGAAACCTCAACTTACGAAGCTTTGTGGTGGGCGAGCACGTTTTATGCACCGACCACGTCACTCTTTGTAACAGAATATTTTTGAGGTTGATGAAAATATCGTGTTATCGCTTTGCGTGACCATTAGTGTTCTAAAAAATGAGCCTTGCATGGAGACCCTCAAGCTTCAGAAGAGCAGCGTTGTCACAGGCACGCAACTCGCTCCTCACCGTGTCGGTTTTAGTGTATCGCAACAGGTTATCAAACTGCTCTCTGGTTATTGATAGGAAGTTTGTAACCGCAGGATACCGTGCGGTTTAGCGTTAAAACCGGAGGCTCGCGCTGCGCCTTTGAAGCACAATTTTCAGCGCGCGTCAGGAGCTTTGCCGTGCTCACAGTACCCTATACTAGCCTGCCGTAACGCTATGTTAAAACTGCCTATTAAAATAATTGGCGTGTTTGGGGGTTTCACTTATTTCCCTATCAAACATCAATATGTTAATATACCCTGCATTTTTTTAACTGTGTTATTTGCAACGTTGCGGCCCCTCTCGCCAAAACTGCCCGTTCTAAGTTCTCGTTGCAAACGTCTGGCTAACACAGACGCACTTAAAATGCTTCGGGTATTTCTTTATTTACTTTGTAATTACCTGAAATCAAGTACGCATATGCTACTTCATAAACGTGTTTGGAATAAATGGTCATGGTTTTTGTAACGGACTTAAAACGCGAACCCATTCCAGATGTGTATTGCGCCACCAGTTTCCTCTTACTTAGGGCAAATAACTTACCTTTTGTAGATCGTGCGCTAGAGCTTTACATTAGTAGCGGGAGCGTTTTTCGTCACGTTAAGCACAGGTTGAACTGGCGGCCATGCACATGACCAGAAATCCGCAGCGTATGCGATATACGAAAAGCCCCTAATGAAATTAGACATGCCAGTCCTTCGTGCAAGGCTGTTGCAAGACGGAGCAAAAAAATTCCTATTTTAACGCGCTCAATTTTTTTCGTTAAAACGGCTTCACGCATCAAGGCCGACAGCCCCTGCCACCGTTTCCGCGCCGCCGCCGACGATGCCGTTTCTCTGTTTCTCGGTTCGTCCGCGAGAGGGCAAGCTGCAAGGGCAAGCCAAAGAACGTGGACACCAAGGCGGTGTTCGAACTTTTCTTGGAAGGCTTCTAACTTCATCTTTTATACGTACACGTACCATTCTCCCTCCCTCCCCTCCCCTTCCCGAATTCCGGTAAGCTGTATCCATTGAAAAGTTTGTTCTCAACGTTCTTAAAAGAAGATAGACTATAAAAAACAAAACCCATTTTTCGACTAGATGTCCTAGCGACGAATAGCCGTACGACGAATTGTCCTACGCGACCAATTGCCCTGCTACAAATTGCCCTGTTACGAATTGTCTTTCGACCAACGGCCCGTATACCATTCTGGCTATGCGTTACCTCGGTATTATGCTGGACGAGAAATTCAATTTTAAGTGTCATATCGCGACAATCCTGTCATCATCACTAAAAGTGTTGGGCATTACCACTCCTCTAAGTTCTCGCTTTCGAGATCCTTTTCTTTTTCTTTATATCTTTGTCCGGTTTAAAAGCTTTATTTTTAACAACTTAAATTTCGTGTCAGTTGTCTAAAACAACCTCAGTTCGACTGCTGCAGCGATCTCAGAGCGAGTACAAAAATGATTCGCAAGAACGAACCACGCAAGAAAACACTTCTAGAATGTGCTCTTCTCAGAATGTGCTACCTAGCTTGTGTTTTGGACGAGTTATTATCTGGACAACGCGGAAATGATCTCGTATTTTGTTTAAGTGTTTGCATGTGTACTATGACAGTGCAAGTGTTATATCTGACATCAATATAAAATTTCGGGTTCGACGTTTCCGCAGTAATCACACAGTCGCAGTTCGCATTCTGAATGTCTTTAAAGCATAAAATGATTTTTAACGCTAATGCTAATACTAAGCTTGTGTCCGTCCGTCCTTCCTTCCGTGCATTTCCCGCTAAATTTTGCGGGAAAATTCATGTCAAATAACCTGGCGTCAACAGACCTGCAGACCAATTCAATTCCCCCGATAAATTGAGCGGGAAAATTAACGTCGCGTGACCTATACACCAATTAAGTCTATCGACTGAATTTCGCGGGAAATTTTAGATCACGTAACCTTACGTTACGTCCCTATAAAAGATATTTAGTTTCCCCGCTAAATCTGGCGGGTAACTTGATGCCACGTGACCTGACTTCGCGTGAACTATGCTCCAATTCAGTTTCAGTGTTATATTCAGGGAAACAAATTACGTGACGCGACCCGTCGTAACCTGGCCTAAACCTTTGTCCATAAGGTGATGCCACATCACCTATGCCATACTGTACTGTATACTGCCTTCTAAAGAAATTAAAGCTGTCGCTTCTTAAATGCTGCATCTAACGCATTATTGGTCTTTGAAGGTAAAAGGTCGAGACATCTGTGGACGTTTTTATCGAAGACTCGAAAGTCTTTCAAGTGGAGTGTTTCTTCTTTTTTTCTTTTCTTTTTTTTTTAGCGCGCTTGTGAATTTTGAGTTTTGACATTCTGTTTTTCATCTAACTTTGTTCGCCAACGTTCTATGCCTCTGGCGGTCGGTGGGCGCGTCTAAATAAATAAATACGTAAACGCTCGTCGTTAGATATTTTGATATTTCGTGTATGAGTTGGCACGTATCCAATGGAGCAAAATGCACGCGATACATATATCAATAAACATAAAGTAAACCGTCGCATAAAAGTTATGCATATATGTTATTAGCTCATTGAATTCTCCCAAAATACACTAATGCAATTGGTTTGAAAGAAAAAGTATCGTGTCATGAGAATTGATTGATGCTCGAGCTTTCGGAATGGCGATTTTCACATATCATAATTCTCTAAATAAAGAAGGCTTGAGAGCTTTTCATTAACTACCAGAACAATTTTTATGGGATAGACGGACAACAAGGTAAAACAGCTAATGGTTAGATCACTCGTATCTCTCCGTTTGATGTAAAGATGTTTCGTGCCAATGATACGCTCGAAAAATTCGGTCTCGGCGGTTAACTGATCGCATGCGCTTATTTCGACTATAAAAGCAAAAATCTTGGGCAGTTCTAGAAGTTTTCTTTTGGTTTTGTTTCTACTATTTTAACTAAAATATATATGTTAAAATAGTGAATTTCGCCTTTTTGGTGGAGTGATGATATATGTACGACGTCATGCACCTCCACCGGAAATGGCTATAGGCACGACGCGGACAGACCATGCCACTGAGTTTATTTAATGGTGGGTTTTGGGTCCCCTATAGACCTGCTCGGTACGTCGACAAACATATTTGTGTTTTAAATGACAATTTAAAAAAAAATGGTCAAAATTGCCGAATATTTGAAAAAAAAAAAACTATGTCCGTCACTTTCCGGACTGGATCGTGCGTGCGCTACGTGCGAAGCGGCAACCTTACCACACGCTACGCAACAGTTTTGGAAAGTAGTTTCGACAATTCTTTTTATTTACGGCATCCACTTTTCACTAGGTGCGTAATTAACTCTCAAAACTGCAAAAGCTAGCGCGTGATTCACTGTGGCGTGCTTATCCAACCCCCCCCCCCCCCCCCCCCCCCCAACCATGGAACCGGCGAACCCCAAAAAGTTTCCCGTCGTGCGCATAGCCATTTCAGGTCGCGGTGCACGCCGTCGTGCCTATATCATTACGCTATTTCGTGTGCTTCCAAGCCGACACATAAATGCTAAACATCACTCAACGAATTCCCAACGTACTGGCCTGGTTTGTGCCTGGACGCGTAGTTTGGTCAGTAGCTTAGCCCGCTTGCATTTCACTTAATCGACAACCTTGAGGCAACCTCCAAGGCTGTTTGATTTGGCGCTAGCTAAGGACTGAATTAAGAAACATTGGGCATGCCTGGGAGTGGTGGCTTCACTATTCAAACGTGAGGTATTACTTTAGTGGCGCCCCTTTAACTTCTGAAGTAAAAGATACAGCGTGGGCCAGGAAGCCGTGTCCCATGACATGCCAGTACGGCGGAAATTACGGCCCTGGCGGGCCAATCGGAACATGACTACGTATCGCCGGAGTGCACTTTTACTGCGAAGAAATATCAGTCTTTTCGCTGTGTCACGCTCCAATATATATGTACGTTGAGCTCGTATACTTAGCGCATCTTTCGAAGCCGTCGGCATGCGGCACGCAATGTCGGGCTTATCGTTCACCTTTTGCCAAGTTACAACGAGACAGGGTATAACCGTTGGCTCTCACTCCGCTGGCGCCGCGTGACTGTTGCCGGCTGGCTACATATGGATTACAGGTAGAATTTGTCGGCACGATATTGGAAGAAGGTTTCGAGTTGAAGTTGGCCTGTCATTTAATTAGCCGCCACATTTTCGGGCACCCGCACAAACTCATTGCTTTCACAGTTACGGCCGATTCAAAATACTCGTAGCCGCTTCTTTCTATTTTTCTAAAAACTTTACTAATATACCACCAAGAATAAAAAAACAACAACGAAAAAATCACTTAAATGCGACCAGTAGCAAAATCGTTAGTTGACATAATTGGTCTTGGAAACTGCCCGCATTCTGTAGAATTTTAAAATCAAACTATTTTAGATTAGCCCACACCGCATTGTGAGTGGTACACTTAAACGTACGAACGAGGATTTCTATTAATACTCTACAATAATCGGCGCGCGTAAAACGCCCCGCGAATAAAAAGACGGGCGGAGAAAATGCACTTACCACGAAGTCATGTTGACGATCACTTCTTAGCAGTGATTCCGCGTGTCGAAACCTCTGCTTAAGTAGACTCAGAGCCACAAAGTTGTCAGGATATATGACCTAACGCGAACATCAAGTTGATTCATTTGCAACATTACTCATCCTTTGACCGAGCTACTGATGATAATCCTGAGGGACGTTATCTTCGTACAGTTAAAAAAAAAAAAAAAAAAAAAAGACGGCGCAAACGAAAAGAGATAATAGAAGAGAAAGATAAGAATTTGTCATTCTCCATTCTAAGGATAACGTCTTTTGTGAATAAACTGGAAGAAGTCGTGTGGCTCTCAAAATGACTCAGTGGTTTCGAGATTTCTGCTGGAATGACTCGGCACCCGAAAAGACAGACATGAAGATCGTATCACTTCCACGATGAGACATGGGTTAATTTTCTGTCGATATTCCTTATAAGTGTTGACTCATTCTCGACATGTATTAAACCGAAACAAAATGTCCGTGTTAATTATTGATATGCATTTTTTGTTAAAGCGGTGGTACAAGAAATATTTTTTTATATGCTTTGCATTTCGTTTTACTTAGTTTTCAACAGAGATGATATCATTTCAATCTTGATTAAACAAAAAACTTCCACAAAGGAATTCCCACATCCATCAGCAAGTTATTTCGCAATTGCGGAAAACATGTAGCGTGAAATCTTATTTATGTTTTAAGCGCCAGTGTGCCTAGTATCTGCCAGCAAATAGCATTCAAGTAACTTTTGAACCTTCCTCTTTACCCAAGAAGCAAATAAAGAAAGACGGCATTTTAACAACCCAATGATGAGTGCTTACCCGGCTTTGACATGTTATTAATATGCAGTTTGGTTAATCGTTGCTTTCAATGTTAGATAAATAAATAAATCGCGCAAAATAGGGGACCTGGGGAGAGAACTGCACAAGACAGCGCTCGTGTTCTGCCTTTCACTTCGCTAACCGAGTATTTCCTTTTCCATTGGTCTTCAATCAATAAAGCGCCCTGTTGTTTGAAGGCCTGTGGCTTCGCTGGGCTGGTAGAGGACTTAAGACTTTTTCTTTATTTAATTTTTTCTCACGTACGTTTGCTATTTGCAAATTTTATTTAAAAAAACAAACAAACAAACATGCACCGCCGGTGGGCAACGCTGCAGAAAATCGTGCCGCGATAGGTTAAGAAACCGAATTTTGCGTAAGGGTGGCTATGTGGATTAGTTGGTTCATACTGACGAAAAGGCAAACAGCGCACAGTAAATGGGGACTAAAGGAAGGGCAAACAGGACAAGCGCTGGCTCTCAACTGAAATTTGATCATATGAAAAGAAAACAAAGAAAACGGCACCTCCGGCCACGTTACAGGATACGTGGTGAATGTATCATGTGACGTGGGCGGATTTGCTGTTTTCTTAGTTTTGGTTTCATGCGATTAAATGTCAGTTGAGAGTCAGCGCTTGTCCTGTTTGCACTTCCTTTAGTCCCCGTTTACTGTGCGCTGTTTGCCTTTTCGTCCGAATTTCGCGGTCAATTTCACGAGCCTGCCCGCTACTTCAGCGCGGCGTTTTGACGTCCACCTCGCGCTGTCGTCTCTCCCTCTCCCTCAGTTTCTTGGTGGAAAGAGAACCTACATTTTTAGGCATTTTATCACTGACAAGTATTATTTTTCTTTTAAGCACAATGCTCCTACGGGCTGGTTTCTAAGTTCAGAGCGTGACTACAAAAAATTACAAATTGATAATTAGCCTTAAAACGATCACGTGGTCGGTGTGACTATGGAGAATGAAAATAAGTTAATTGCAGGTTCTTTGTTCCTATATTCTCACGAAAGTAATTTCGTGCTCTGTGACGCGCATTCGTCCAGATGGCTCCACCGTGATTTATGTAGCCGCATGGCCACGGGACGCGAAGTCCGGTCAGGAGGCGTCGCGGTGTCCCGGGATGCATCGCTGTTACCGTGGGACGTCACGCTCATAGGTCGCATGAAGTGACTTCAGGTCCCATTTCGTTAAGCTGTCAGGTTACGTCGCCGCTAGGCTGTGGTGTCAAGTTAAGTCGTCGCGTGACCTTACGGCGTCACGTGATGTCCCTGTTACGTTTCGTGTGACATCAAGAAGTAACGTGCCTTAGCGTTAGCTCGTGCGACGTCCCTGTTAATTCTTAGTGTCATGTTAGGCGGTGACGTGTATGTAACGTCTAGGTATCACGTGACGTCACTTCACATCACGTTGTGTCAAGTAACGTCATCTGATGTTGCAATGTCACGGGCACCACGTGACGGTGTCATGGGGTTTGTGTCACGTAGCTGCGTCATGTTCATGACATCCCGTGACTACAGTTTCTCTAGTGACCTCAAGTAACAAACACCTCCTAAATGTAACAGGGAAAATATCATATAGACCAACTCAACTCACTGGCGTCTCCCTACTGCGGTCGTGCTGCTGTCGATATTGCGCATGCGCAAACGCTTCACTCCTCCCAATATTAATTTCTGCGCACGCGCCGTGCCCAGACCTGTTGTGGGCAAAGCGGGCTTGTTTGTAAACACTAGTTAGGTGTATATGGTGCCCTATCTCCTCAGTCCGCATTATCCGTAATTCAAACCTTAAAAAAAAAACGTAAAGTGAAGTTCTTTTTTTTTTTTTCTGATTCTTTACTGAGGCGAGATTGAAAGAGAGATAGAGAGAGGGTGCGTGAAAGGTAGATAGGTTATCCTGAGCGCATTGCTCTAGCAGACCATGCACTGTACGGGGGGGGGGGGGGAGGGGAGGGGGGATAGGGAGGAAGGATTTGAGATATGAAATGATGTGGGGAAGGATTTATTGATGACGATGACGTGATCAGAGTGACGTTGTCTCAAGAAGGTTTGAGGAGCGGTATTCATAGCTATGGACATTCCTACAAAATCGCCTTCTGCGGGCTGCCATCTTAGTCTGCTGGGCTTTGGAGTGCCTTCTGAGCATGCGCTGTAGGTCTGTCGTGCGCAATATCGGGCGTCGCGCATTCGCCCAGGTCATAAAATTTAAAATGGTTTACAGGATGGGACGCCAAACGTCAAGACCAGCTGTTCTCGATTTTACGGAAGCTTAATTACGTTTTTTTAAACAGTTTTCGCGTTCGTGAAACAATTACTAAGACTTTAAACTGCGTAAAAACGAGTACGAGCACACATTCGTAATTGCATATATATTGTGAGCTAGAAGCCTCTATCACGTTAATAAAAAAAAATTTGGGCGATTTCGCCAATTAATTTGTATCCTTCTCTATCTCACCGCAGGAGGCATCGAAGCAGATAAACAACCTTTAGTCACCGAGCAGTCTCCGAAAGAGCTACACAAATAAATGGCCCTCATTTCATTTCGTTTGACGACTTCTTGTCCGTGACACAAAGAAGTATCTGAACCTTATTTATCGCTGCCATCTTCCTGATTTTGCTCAACACAAGTTAACAGTTTAGCGAAGCTGTTCTTTATGCTAATAAGTTTTGTTGTGCAACCATTTACGCTGCTTCTGTACTACTTCTTAGGTTATTTTCAAGCGAAGCCAACGCTTCGATTCGTAGTGGCAAATTGAGGAGAGCCAAATGTGTCTCGTGATGCTCCATTGCTCGTCGTCTTTTGCGTTGGCTGCAATGGACTTCACCAATCACGCAGAGCATGTGTGCCGCGATAAAGCGCATCTTTTTTGTGTAAGTGCTTCATCGACTTAGCCATTGATAGCACACACATTTAAAGAAAACGTCTCATGAAATGCACTTTTGGCGCAGCTTGATTGGGTCAAGCGGATTGTAGCCTTGACTGTGGTCGGAGTTTGTATGAAACAAAGCATAAGAAGTTTTGTTGTACTGTTTTTTTTTTTTTCGTGAAATATCAAACTAATTTATGTTATGGCGTTTTGCTACTGGGTTAATTTGAGTTGGCTTTTTGCAGCCGCTAACACGAATATGCACCAAAAAAGTTTATTTTATATTTTGGAGTGACACGGTTGCGCGAACGTGCCTTTTTGTGTTTCAGGTAGCTCAAAGAACGGGCGATGATGCGCTGCGCGAAACTTGGCACGCGAGTTACAAGCAGGAAAATTCGGCGACCGGCGAGGTTGGTGAGCATTGCACGTGACGGGGCCGCCGACGTTCCCCAGATTATGACGTCATCTTGACTGGTTCGGGCTGATGGCCGATCGAACATGGAAATTTCCATCTCGCCGCGAGATCGTGGTAACCTCATTCTGATGTTTCCCAACTCGCCGCGGCTGAAGAATCTCTCCCGTTCGGGAGTGTTCACGTTGGGCTCCCGTGTGAACGAAGCCGCGAAAATGGCGGCAAATGTTGTAGTCGTTTCGGCCTTGGGATTGCCGGCGATGGCGATTCCCACGCACAGAATTGGATACCTGTGCAGTTAAATCCGCTTGCCACCGGTGGAATATTCAGCGACGAGGATAATTGTCCGGGACATACTTTCTTCTGGCTGGAAAGGTTTCCACGCCGCCGCATCCAATCACAACGAGGGGAATAGACGACGTTTTTCAATGAACAGTCTGGCCACGTCGCTGGAGTTGCCACAGGAGTTGATGGAGTTCTCAAATTTATCATACTGTGCCGTTTCGTTTTCCCCACTGTGTCGGCGAAATACTCACCGACACTAAAGCATCTACCAACTCGTTTCGAAAAGAGGCGTCTGAACGACGAAGACTTTTCTCCCAAGGACTACATGTCGAATAAAACAGGCGCAGAATTAGGCGTGATCCGTGCGCACACGCGTTGTCTACTTTTCGCTAGCTGTTTTATTATTACAGTGTCGCACGGCTGAGAAAACGTTCGGCAATCTCTCGGCGCTGTGGGCTGTTAGCTATATTACATCAGGTTGCTGCTAAAAGTTACCTCAGAGACGACACGTATGAGAGGATTTTTTTTGAAACACTGAACATGCCAGGTCCCATTTCTGTTGGCTGTATTCTTGTATTCGTGTTTTAAAATGGGCCCCATAGGGCCTATATGCTTCATATAACTTGAACACAAATGAACATGTCTAGCGTGACCTTTTCCAAAGGAAACGGCC